TTAGCTGGGTGTGGTAGCATGCGCCTGTAGTTCCAGCTATTTGGAAGGCTGAGGCGGAAGAATCGCCAGAGCCCAGCAGGTCGAGGCTGCAGTGGCCGGGAGCGTGACACTGCACTCCAGTCTGGGTGGCAAAGTGAGACTCCAACTCAAAAAAAAAAGAAAAAAAAAGAAATGCTGGCTGGGCTCCATGGCTCAGCTTGTAATCCCAGCACTTTGGGAGGCTGAGGTAAGTGGATTGCCTGAGCCCTCGGGTTTGAGACCCACCTGGGCAACTTGGCGAGACCTCGTCTCTACAATAAATAAAAAAATTAGCCAGGCGTGGTAGAGCGCACCTGTAGTTCCAGCTACTTGGAAGACTGAGGCGGAAGGATAGCTGGAGCCCAGGAGGTCGAGGCTGTAGTAGCCGGGAGCATGCCACTGCATTCTAGTCTGGGTGATATAAAGTGAGACTCCAACTCAAAAAAAAATACCAAACAAAAAAAACACTTTTCTACAACATAGGAGATGAATACACACACACACACACGTGTATATATATGTGTGTGTGTGCGTGGGTGTGTGTATATATGTATACACACACACACATACACACACACATATATAAAATAGGCCAGGCTTGGCGGCTCAGCCTGTAATTCCAGCACTTTGGGAGGCCCAGGCGAGTGGACTGAGCCCACAGGTTCTAGACTAGCCTGGGCAACTTGGTAAGACCTCGTCTCTACAATAAATAAAAAAATAAGCCAGGAGTGGTAGTGCTCACTTGTTCCAGCTACTTGGAAAGCTGAGGCAGAAAGGTTGCCTGAGCCCAGCACGTGGATACTAGAAGCAGAGCTCCATGGGAGCTCTGCGGTGGCCATGAACATGTAACTACACTCCTCCAGCCTGGGCAACAGAGACTTCAACTCAACAAACAAACAAACAAACAAACAAGGAACACTTCTCAGGTAGCGAACAACAGTGCCCGAGTCAAGTTCTGAGAGGGCAGATGCAATGAGGAAAACCCACCAGGTTGGGAACACAAACCATTCAGCAATCTTCCTGGAGAAGTTATGAGAGGAGTGGGCTGGAAGGAGGACTGGAACAAAGGAATCAACCGTCTGTGATCACATAGGGAGATTCCATCCAACAACGCAAACGACTCCTCCGTGGTTACAAGTAGATAAATAAATTTCACAAAACGGACAATGAGCGAGGAAAGTGAGTTTCTAGGAAAAGCCCACGTGACTATTTTGTAACTCAGCCAAGTTGCTACAGGATCCAGGGGCGCAACGAAGGTGCCAGGTCTGGGGCAGGGAGAGGAGTCGCAGGCTCTAGGGACACCTGACAGCAGAAACCCCAAGGACTTGAGGCTGGCTCGTAGAGATGCTATCTGAGAGGAGCTTAGGAGCTGGAGGCAGGGAAGACGCGCTCCATGGATAAGCCTGGACCCAGTGCTCCCATCCGTCCAGAGGTGGCCAAGGAAGTCGCGGAGCTCAAATGCGCTGGCGAAGATCCAGCACATTCCTCCCGGTCCCAAGTACTCAGGGGTCAGCCCCAGGCCCAACGGTGGAGATGCGGGCGCACCAGGCCCACAAAGCCCGGCGCGAAGACGCCCCCTTCTTAAGCGGAACGGCGCGCGCCGCGCCCAGGTCCTAGGCCAGTGTCACTTCTCCCCCCGTTCACCTAAGCCCTTTCCCACCCACCGCCTCGGCTTGGACTACCTGGGCGGGCTCGCGGGTCCCAGAGATGGCGCCGAGGGCGGGACGATCCCAATCGACTAACTCAGTGCTCACTCCCTCTATAATGCCTGCGCCTACGCACCAGGAGCGACGCCAATCGGCAGCTCGGCGCCTAACCCTCACGCCTGCAAGTCCCGGCAGCACCACCCGGACTTCCGGCCACAGCCCCGATGCGTTACGCCTGCCGGATCAATGCAATCCGGCACGTAATTCGTCTAGTTGCTGAGGTGCATGTCCAGGGTCTCCATAGGGGGCTGTTAAGAGCCAGAGGCTGAAGCAAAGGGAAGGCCCATCTGACATCGCCCACCCACCCTCCAGGCAGTCACGGGGATGGAGGCAGCAGCTTCGTTTATTAAGGGCCTCGCTGGGTGGGGAGAGGCTAGAAGAATTGGTGCCGAGGTCAGAAGCGCCGGAAGAAGAGCTTGGAGCCTTGGTCCAGCGTGCATTCGCCACGGCCTGGTTGACTGGGCAGCAGCTGGCGAAGCACGTTCCGGTCATCGGCGCAGAGGCGTCTGCTGCACAGGTGCAGCTCCTGAAGTTGCTCGGTGATCTTGTTCCAGAGGCTCAGGCCTAGTGGCCCCTGGACGGTACAGCCTGCAGAGGGCCAGAGGGCAGGCGTCAGCTCTGCAGGAGCTAGTGTGTCCTGGTGCCAGGGTCAGGCATACGGGACTTCCAAACCCATGTTCTCTTTACTGGCGTACACCTTGGGAAGAAGCACGCTTCCTCTGAGGACCCTAGGTTGGAGCAAAGTGCAATGGGCAGAGCCCAGGAGTGGCCCTGTAACACACTGTAGGAAGGGGTGGGCTCCTCTGCATAGCCAGTGGTCAGACAGAAAGAAGGGTGGCTCAAATACTATGTCTACCTCTGACAGTGCCCTGATTGCAAAGTCCCTGACTACACCTCAGTCTCCCCATCCATCAAAAAATACATAATAGGGCTGCTGGCAAATCTGTACATTGTGGGCCTCAGTGTCTCAGGAAGACACTAAGCTCCTCAGGCCAGAGTTCCCAGTAGGCTCAGGAACTCAGGAGCTGAAAGAGAAACTACAGATAACAGGAACACGTGTGTGGGGAACAGCCCCAAGTGAATGCAGGTCCCCCACCACCCCGCCTTCAGGAAGAGGCAACCTGGCCCTGTGGGGTGGTGGGATGCAAAAAGAACTCAGGGATCCCTTGTGTGCACCCACTTCCAGCCCTTGTCCCTTTGGTGGGGCAGATCCTGACATTCTGCCCAGACCTAAGCTAAGCATGCCAAGCTGCAGGTTGACCATCTCATCAAATGCACCTCTCCTGGGGTTGTCCCTCAGGCAGCCCAGGTCAGGGACTGCCCTGGCTGGAGTGAGAACCACCTAAATCTGGTCCACAGGCTGAGCAGGGGAAGGGTCAGAGGAGCACCCACCAGGAATTGGGAGAGTCCCTTGGTGACAACTTTCAACACCCCGACCTTGGACTTTCTGCCACAGAGAATGAGGAAGTCCCTGTGGAAGGGGATCCTACCTGCCATAGTCTACTCTGAGGGTCAGGCTGGATGAGCCAGGAGCACAGACCCCCATTGTTTTAGGAGCTGGGTTCACACCTCTTTCCTGTCATTCCACACACTGCCCGCTGCTGCCTCAGCCTCATGAAGCCCAGCCCAACCTTGCTTTCTGGTTGGTGGCAGTGACAGCCCGGTAGGAGAAGACACCTGGGTCTCAGGTAGGTTCCTGATAAGGGAGTTGTGTGATCAGCCAGACATGGGATGGTAGTTGTGTGATCACCTGACAGGCCAAGGAAGCTAAGGCCTTGGGGCCGCTTCTGGAGGGTGGACAGAAGCTCCTCCAGGCTAGCACAGCTGATCTCAGGGTTGGCAGAGAGGTCCAGCGAGATGAGTGAGTGACAGAGAAGGAGACATCTAAAACAATGAGGGAAGATCGCAAAGGTTGTATTCCAGAGAGAGCCCTTATCCCATCACCAGGGAAATGTGCCCCAGACAAACTCATGGCTCTAGGAGCCACAGGCTAGGCCCACAGGTTCTTCCCCAGCCTGGCACAGGCAGCAGGTTCTCCTGCAGGGCTGGCAGGAAATGCCTAGGGGTCAGGACCACAGTGGCCAGCCCTTGGTGTGCCTGGCCCAGCTTGGGCATTTCTTGACATTCCTCTGAGAGCCAGCCAAGGCTATAGGTTATAAGAGTAGTGGTCCTTGTGTGCGTTGATGTACAAGGGTGCCAAGAAGGGACATACCTGGAGGAAAAGCTCTTAAGAGCCACAGGCATGTACTAAGAAAGAAACTCATGGAGAGTGGTATGCTTTTTGGAGCAGCCCTAGAGGGTAGTGGAAGTCAGGTCTTGGGACACCCTTGGGGGAAGGGGCTGGCATTACTTATGTGATCCTTCCTACCTAACCCAGCTCCCCTGGCATCCCAGGCCTTGAGAACAGATCCCCCTCAGGACAGCAGGCATCAGGGTAGGGTATTACCTGCTCAGGTCTCTCACAGCCTTGTCACCCAGGTGGTTTGCAGATAGGGTCAGGTGGGTCAGAGCACAGCCTTCCTAGACACAAGCAGAGGCCTGAGGGGGCCAAGCCAAGTGGGGTACCTGTCCTCCCTGCATCCTAGCAGATGTCCCCACATCTAGGAGGCCAGGCACCCGAGGTGTCAGAAGAGAGCAGAGTGCAGACTGGAAGGAAACACCTCCCCTCCTGTTTTTAAGTCACACTTGGCACGCTGTCATATAATAAAAACTAGAGATGTGGCCCTGTGTGGAGGAGCTCTCAGGAGAAAGCACTAGGGGTCTGATGTATCCCTTGGGACCTGCCTGGAGGTCCTTGTGATCTAGGTTCTTTTGTGGTGATCAGAAATTCATAGCATTAAAACTGTGCAGAAAGCATTCACCATAGCTTTTCTTCCCAAACTTCACAATCCAGAGCCCCTCACAGTGAGTGCAGCTGAAATCTGGGGAGAGGTGAGCTCCTCCTAGCCATCCAGGGCCTCACTTTAGGACTTTTGACTTCTGAGGCCAGTGTCTTGGCTTGGCCCCACCTCATACCTTAGTCAGGTATCTGACCACGGGCTCCAGGAGGCCCACATCACTCTTGCTGACGGCCACGGAGCCAAGCTCTAGGCGCAGAAGGGTGCGGGCGGGCAGGTTCTGCAGGGCCCTGGCCAGGGTGGGGGCACCCAGGGCATTGTAGGACAGGGACAAGGTCTTCAGACATGCAGCATCTGCACCAGGGCCAGAATCTGTCAGTCCCATATGGACACTACCCTGTCCCCACCTAAAGTTTTGGGCCCAGAACCCTCAGGAATCCTTTGGGGAAACTAGGGCAATAGGTACAGAGGCAAAGGCTCTTGCCCAAGTTCTCCTAGCTGGGGAGGAACAGGGCCAAACTCCTGAGTCCAGCTTCTCCCTTTCACTTCTGGGTCCCCTGACTATTCCCACCCTCGTGACAACATGGTCCTGGGCTGCTTGAGAGGTCCTGGGCCAGGACATCTGTGCATGGTGGGGTTGTCAGGGGAGTGCTCTGACCACTGCTGCCCTACTCCAGACCTTTTCCTCAGCCCAGATGACTACCAGTTCTCAGCCTCTTGGCACTGACATCCCTAGGATCTGCGACTGGGCTTACAGTGGAACTGCCTCAAGCAAAAGGAACACTCAAGAACTGGGGAGAACAGGAGGCAAGGGAAACACTGGGATACTGAGCTGCCTAGACACTACCCTGTGGTATGTCCTGGAGGAACAGCTTAGCTGCATAAGCACCAGATGCCTCTTAGAGTCCGGGCAGACCCAGCATCCACAAGTCCATCTATGTGCTCCCAGAAGCTGGCCCCTCCTGCAAAGCCAGACCTGGCATCCCAGGACCCCCCTGCTCTTTTCTCAGAGTTAGAATCTAACCGTGTTGCCCAGACTGGAGTTCAACACCTGGCCTCAAGAGGTTGTCTCAGCCTCCCAAGTAGCTAGGACTACAGACGTCTGCTACCATGCCAGGCTAACTTTTTTATTTTTTGTAGAGACCGGGTCTTGCTATGTTGCCCAGGTTAGTCTCAAACTCCTGGACTCAAATGATCTCACAGCTTCAGCCTTCCAAGTAACTGGGATTAGAGGTGGGAGCCACAGTACCTGCCCCAGGCCCCTTTTGCTGAAGGTTCTCTGAGTCCCTCAACACCCTAGGGTTAGGGAGCAGACCAGGGAGTGCCTGGTCAACTCACCTTGAAAGGCGCTACCCAGGGCTGTCTGGTGGCTCAGAAAGAAGCTGGGGCCAAAGCCGCAGGCCTGCAGGCGCAGCGTGCTGAGCAAGGGGCAGGCATGCAGAAGGGAGGCCAGGGCCTGGCCACAGCCATCCCCCAGAGGGTTCATGCTTAAGTCCAACTCCTCCAAGTTCTATGGAAGACAAGGGCCAGACACTGAGTCCTCAACAGCCCTGTGGGCCAGGCTCCCCCTCAGAGGGTGGCTTGGTAGTCTCTTTCCCACCTTGGCCCCAGCAGAGTCTATTCCAGAGTTGGATATTGGCTGGCTTTCCCAACTGCTCCATACCACCCAGTGACTGGCTGAATGGGAATGCTGATGCCACCCGGTTGATGGCCTGCTGCTCCTTATGCCTGTACCTGCAGGGTGGCCTGGCCGGGCAGGCCTGTGGCAAGCTGATGCAAGCCTTCAGGGCCCAGGTGATTAGAAGAGAGATCAAGGAGGGCCAGGCTGGGCATAGTACCCAAGGCAGCCAGCAGCTCGGCAGCACATCCGTCCCCCAGCCGGTTCCCTGACAAGCGTAGCTCTCGGAGTGCTGTGTGTAGCTTCAAGGCCCGCAACAGGGGTATGAGTTGGGCCTGGCACAGGGCCAGGGAGCAGGCGCTGAATGAGGGGCCTAAGCCCTGGCGCTCCATGACCTGTAGCACCTGTTGGTGCTCTCCTGGGTGGGGGAAGGATGTGGTATCAGTGGGGCCAGAGCTTGCCCCTTCTGCCCTCTGAATACTAGGGGCAAATCAGGCAGCACCTTCTCACTAGCCCTGGGTAGTACTCATCACACACCCTTTCCCACACACCTATGGATCTAGTGCTGTGTGAGCCCCTATGGACCAAGTTGGGTCTGCAGCACCCTGACCTCTTCCACTCACCCTCATGTCTCACAGCCCCTGAGACAATCTTCCTGGGAAGTTTCCCAGGCAGCTCCCAGCCCCAGATTCTCTTCCTTGGGCTTGATTTCTGTGGCTTTTTGTTGTTTTACACCATCCCACTTACAGCCTATGGGCTCAGAGCTGTCTTTCCCAACCTACTACTCCTATGGGCAAGTGCAGGGCACAGCACCCATCAGCTTCCAGGTGGGGGAAGGTGCCCTGATACACCTAAGGCCCACAGATCTGAATGAATGGGGCAGTGAAGTCTGCATGCCCAGGCCCCTCTGCTCTGGCCTCCTTCCATAGCCTCACCCAGAAGCCACGGGTCTCCAGGGTCCTCACCTTGCCCCAGGCTGTGGCAGGCCCCGCGGGAGCGGGCAATAAGTGGGGGGAGGTCCCATGAAGTCACTTCAGCCAGTACCTAGAAAGCACCATCAGTAGCAGCCCTGGGAATGCTCGCTGCCCTAGGCTCCAGCTCATGCTTCTTACCTCATCATTGCTCTGCAGCACATCGGGGATGGGGTCCTGTGGGGCCAGCAGGGCCCCCTCCTTCCGTAGGGTAAGCCTTGGTAGCAGCCCACAAGTCTGGTAGTAGCGTTGGGCTGCTTGCTCAGCCAGCCAGGCCACAGAGTGGGCCTCACTGCTGTGGGGACAGAAAACACACTGAGCCCTGGGCCCTGCACACAGTCCAGGTGATGCCCCCAGGGCCTCACCACCCTCACTTAAGGTCTACAGCTCCTTCTTTTGGCTGCTTTCCTACCCTCTCCCCTGGACTGCCGGCTTTCTCCTTTCCCTATACCTTAGCACACCATCAACTCCTCTGGCCATTCCTGGGGGCTACAGGGCTCAGACCATTAAGAAAACCCCTTGTCACATGTCCCACCTTGATATGCAAACACAAAGCTACAAGCCCTCTGTCACCAGCCACCCTGGCATGGAGCTGCATAGGTAGGCAGAGGCTGGGGTTGGGAAAGGGCAGGTGATGTCTTACCTCTGTGGGACAGGGATGAGGAAGAGATTATCCTGAACTTGAACTCGAACCCGGATGGGAGGGGGCAGGACTGAACCCTGGCAAGTGGAGGCAGGAGAGCTGGTTGAGTCAGGATTGACAAAGGCCTCCACTCCCACCTGCCCTGAGCTGAGGAGATAGCTCTGCTCCAGGCTTGCACACCCACCGAAGGTTGACCTACTGTGGGGTTGTCCCCAGTGGGCCCTAAGGTCCTGGGACTTCCTGGAGGTTCTGCAGCTAAGCTGCTGTCCCCTGCTTTGACCGGTGCACTCCAACTTTCCAGACTGGTCAAGTGAATCTGCTTGGCCCGGGTCCGGGGCCTGATGGGGTGCTCCTCGCTATCTGATCCTGAGGCACTGGGCCTGCTGCTGTCCCCAGTGTCCTGTGGATGAGGCTGGAAGCTGCCCTGGTGGCTGTGGATCAGGGGTGTTTCGAACTCCAGCCAGTCCCCAGTCAGATACTCCTCCTCAGGGATAAGTGCCGCCTGGCGGGTGAGGGCTTCACTCTGGCCACGAGGCAGGCCAGGTCCCAGGTGTCGGCTCTGGGCACTGCCCACACCTCGGATGGCAGCTTGGTAAGCCACCCAGCTAGTGCTGGCTGTGGCTGCCTCCCTTTTGCTGGCTTTCCGGGTTTCAGCCTGTGGTGCCAGGGCAGAGCTCCGAGGCCTCTTCTGGGATGGCCAGGAGGCACCCACACTGTCCTCGCCTTCTGAGCTGCCACTGTTGCTGGCTGGCCTGTGTCTCCTCCTCCCAGGTCTGGCCACAGCTGGCACTGCCTGCCCTGCAGAAACCCTGACTCGGGCCTGAGAGGCCTCTGGGTGTCTAAGGGTATGAGAGGAGGGTTCTGGGCAGGGGCTTGAGGGAGGAGAAGTCTCAGAGTCAAACAGATGGTTACTTGGGATGGGCTGGGAGGCCTGGGAGTTGTGGGGAGCTGTGGGAGAGAGAATCCATCCTGAGACAGGAGCCTGGCACCTCCTCCCCATCACCTGTTATGAGCATCCCTTTGGAATCACAGCCCAGGGACTCTCAGGCTGGGGGAGCAGCATCCGCAGGGACAGAGGAGGCCCCACTTGCCTTGGCCCGAGGAAGCTGCCTGGAGCAGCCTCTCCATGGCTCTAGCCTTTTGCTGAGTCTCGAAGTCCAGGTCCCTGTGGTACAGCTTCACCCACTGCTGTAGTGTCTCCAGTGGGCTGTGGCCCTGTATAACATATGGCTGAGCAGGGGGCAAAATAGTCCCAACCCATGAGCCCTTACCCACCTTGCCCCTTCCCAGGCTCACCTTCCTAGTTCGGAGGGTGACAGATGCCCCCCGCTCAATAAGCAGCTCGGCTACCTCAAAGTGGCCACAGGTGAGAGCATCGTGCAAGGGGGTGATACCTTCGCACCCCTGGCCACCAGGGTCGTCCACTGTGGCCCCATGGTCCAGCAAGAAGCGGACGATCTCTGTGGGCCAGAAGATGTAAGCCCAGCTCCCGATGTCCTGCTTGGGCCCCCTCCTCATCCCACATGCCTAGCCAGCTGTGTGCCAGGCCCTGCCTGTTCTTTGCTTACCCAGATGCCCATAGTTGCAGGCCTCATGCAGAGGCGTCCAGCCACAGTAGTCTCGAGGGTTCAGGGGATGACCCTGTGAGCAAGGATAGGAAAGAGTCTGGCCCTGTGTGCCCTGCAGTCTGGCCTCAGTCCCATGAGGTTTGTGGCTTGAGGTTAGCCCAGGGTCTTGGTCCATCCCTTTCTTCCTCTGGCCTAGGTCTCACAAGAGTGAAAACTCTCCTTACCACCCCAGAAAGCAGAGTAGCCACAGTGTATCTTCCGATCTTCCAGCCTATGTGCCTACTCTGGCCCCTTGTGGGGAGATAATGTCTAGTTGGAGGGTGTGAGGCAGAGTAGAGGGTGCCAGGGTCTCAGCCTATGGGCTGCCTCTCAACCCTGGTCAGACCAACCAACTTAGCTGTGGCACAAATGCCATACCACATGCTGGGTACCTCAGATCTTGTTTTAAAGATGGGGAAGTTGACAGGGAGATCCTGCCCAAATGCATAGCTCCTTTGTGACAGAGCCAGGACCAAGCAGCCTGTTTCATGTCCCAGTGTGGTGGCCCACCTGCCTCACAAGGTCCTGGACGCGGCGTAGCTGGCCCTCAATGCAGGCTCGGTGCAGCAGGGTCTCTCCCATGTCATTGCGCCGGTTCCACTGTTAGCACAGTTGCCCCAGGACAGGGGCAGAGGTGTAAGGGGCCAGGCAGTGCTGTTGAGCATGGGTGGGTGGAGGCAGGGGCACCATTTTTTTTTTTTTTTTTTTG